TTGCAGTTTGGACAGTGCCAGATCCTTCTGGAGCAGAGTCAGGAAAGTAATGCAGCCTCTTGTTCTCTTCTAATGCTTAGTGAACATTTTACTCTTGCAGTGTGAGAGGCCCTGCTGCACGGCTTTTTTGTGTTGAACTTGGAGTTGGGCTTTACACAAGATCATAGATAATATACATCAAACACCAAAATTTGTTGTGGTTCTCCAAACAAATGAGATATGTAGTTAAAAATGATACAAGTGAACCCTTCTAAAAGATATGCAATTCTATTTGGCAAGTTTTGAGGTTCATAAACCTCTGACACGAATCACAGCCAGTCAAGGTGACACCACCATTTCTTGATTCACTTTGTAGATTCCCATGTCTCCTCTCCACTATCAGCCTGCTTGCTGAATAATGAATAAGTAGAATAGGAATATTAAATTAACTGTATATGAAGCCCCCGGATGTTTTTCTTTGTTTAGGATAGAGTAAGAAAAGGATGGAACTCCTGTCAGGGGTTTCTTTTCATGTCTGTGTTTCCACTGGGAGTTTGAGCATCTCTAAAGGTCCTGGTGATTATTATCTCCAGTACAAAAAGTCATGGGAAATCCAAAATTTTGGAGTTGTCATAGGAACTAAAGGTTTGGGAGATTCTCCAATGGTAAAACCTGTTTCAAGGACAATTTTCTAAAAGTCTCAATTTCCTTTTTCTTTGGATTGCCTTTTAATTCCTGGGACAATAGGTGGAGGGTAATCCTCCCAACAGTGAGTCTTATCATTCATTTATATACACTTTAATGGTCTAATGAGTAGGCAGGTAACTTCAAATATACTTTAACTTTTTATTTGCATCACAGCTAGATGAAGCAGTTGAAAGTCAGTAGTTTGTTCTAAATAAAATTACAATTACATTATTAGTATTGAAAAAAAGCAAAAAAAGTGTTTTGTTTAGCTGAAACCATAAGATGACAATCGCTACGATAAGCATAAAATAAGTCTCTATAGAAAACACAGAATTGAGGAATGTGAAATGCAAGTGAATAGTTTCATGAGTGTGCTCCTATCTATGGATGATCTGGAAGAAAATGTGTTTTTCTCTACAATTGTATCTGTGTATTGTAGTTAAATCACACAACAGATGCATCCAGCAGTAGACTCTTCTACCTGTGTGTATATATCTGGTAACCACATGAATCTACACTAGCACAGGGGACTGAATTTGACCTTCAGGCTCCTATGAAACTTGCAGTAATGAGGGCATATCATTTGAAATGCATACACTGATGTTTTCTGAATGAATACAACATTAAAAGCAATCCTTCATACACAAAGTTGAATACATAATTATTGGGAGAATTATGATAAATGTTAACATTTAATTTTCAAAATATGTAAGGGTAAGGTTTATTCCTAGCAATTTTCTTACAATCGATTATATGTACTGTATGTATAATTTATAGCAAGTGTGAAAGATCCTTGAAACTAATGCAAGTAGTATATGTTGTATGATGCAGGATGGCATTGAATACCTTCTATTTACACTCACCTGTGCACTGGCTTTGGCCTCTCTTACAGCACACGGCCCCAATATTGAACTATCCTCACAACTCCCTACTGTTCTGCATCCTATTCGGGGGGATGTCACTTGGTTGCTGCTGCTCAGCAAAAAGACGTTTTGCATTTTTTTTTCAACATGCACCGAGCTGAATAAACAGGGATTTACCAGCACAAGAGGTGCCCTTAGTCAGCAGATTTCAGCTGGCCTGTACTCCAACACAACAGAGAAAACAACTCCCCAACAGATACAATAGAAAAGAAGAGAAATTAGGCTTGGCGTTGGTATTTTTTTTTTTCACTTTATATGTTAATTACTGTAGATTGTAGCTTCAGTTCTACACATGGGATGGACTTGTCTCTGTTTTTGGTTGTTTCTTACATTTACAGCAGTTGGCCACCACTTTATAAAGTAATAATATACTTGGCTCTGCTTACAATATTTACATGAGTAATGATATTCTTGGTGGTATTTAGTGATGGGCCAAACACCCCTGTTTGGTTTGCAGTCGAACATTCGAACCTAACGCAATGAACTTAATGCAAGTTTATGGGACTCGAACTTGTAAATTCAAAAGTGCCCATTTTGAAGGCTTATATACATGTTATTGGCCATAAAAGGGGTATGGGGACTTGGGTACTGCCCTGAGTGATATGAATCAGTAATAAATAAATGTACCGTTTTCAAAGCGACAGTCAATTATCATTGCTTAAAGTAAAAAAAAAAAAAAAAATTCCTTTAAATACCATGGCGGGGGAGCGGGGGGGGGGTTGGGTCCCCTTAAGCTACCTGCAAAGTTGCACATCTGTACAATGTATAGAACCTGCTCCAGCAGAACTGACTTTTTTTTTTAAGGACATTTTTATAAAAAAAAAAAAAAAAAAAATCAGCATGGGGTCCCCCTTCCAAACCATACCAGACCCTTAAGGTCTGATAGGAAGGTCAAGAGGGATCCCACAGTAAAAATGTTTTTTTAAAAGTGCATAAGGTTCCCCCTAAAAGCCATACCAGGCCTTTAGGCCTGGTAGGACTTTTAAGGAGAATCCCACCTTCCAAAAATGGGGGAGGAAAGTGAGTGAAGTTCCCCCTAAAAGCCGTACCAGGCCTTTTAGGCCTGGTAGGACTTTTAAGGGGAACTCCACCCCCAAAAAAGGGGGGAAAAAAAACATGTGGTCCCCTCTAAATTCCTACCAGACCCTTGATCTGAGCACAGGCCTGGCAGCCAGGAAAGGAGGGGGACAAGCGAGCGTCCCCCCTTCCTGAACTGTACCAGGCCACATGCCCTCAACATAGGGAGGTGCTTTGGGGTAGGGGGGCTCTTCCCCCCAAAGCACCTTGTCCCCATGTTGACAAGGGCCTCTTCCCCACAATCCTGGAATCTGACTTATTGGAATCTGGAAGCCCCATTTAACAAGGGGGCCTCCAGATCCCAATCCCCCCCCCCCTTGTGAATGAGTATGGGGTACATAGTACCCCTACCCATTCACCAAATAAGTGTAAAATGTAAATAAAAACACAACAGTAAAGCCAAAAAAATGGTTCCGTTGCTGTAATCCATCACGCCCACTGACCTGTCCTCACCCACCAAGCACTTGCAGCTATCTGACATTTGCTGGCCGGATGCAAACAATTAGGCTGAGCTACACCCAGTTGTTCTGTGATTGCCCAAAGCATTGCTTTGGCCAATCACAATGCATTGTGCGGTGCTGTGGGCAAAAAAACCCGCCTAACACCCTTACCGTTCGTGTGTTTGCCAAACACAAGAATGACTGATCAAGGACATCACTAGTGATAATGGCAAAAGACCTTTTTTAATGTCACCAGGAAACACATATTTACCTGTTTTAGCAAGGCCAGCATTTGGAACCAAATATAGAGTACAGATCGTGAAGTCCAGAAAACAGCCTGCTGCAGTCCCAGCCTTACAAGGTTAGGACACGTGGAATTGGATAGATAAGACATATCAGAGCTGACGTACAAACACTGTGTCAGGGCTCCCAGGTGTGACCAGAGGTGTGTGGCTGACGCAGGGAAACGCAGACCTCAGATATGTTATAAACAATATAATTTATTAACACTAACAATACAAACATAAACGCAGTGCAATACTAAAACATAATACAGTGCAACCAAACCAAACCAACCACCCACAGATAACAGTACATACAAGCAAGCGCGTCGTCAGGCAGGCCGGGTCAATATCAATAGGGCAGGTAGGTACAGGGGGAGCAAGCGGAGATGGTTCGGGGTCACAGGCCAGGTTCAGCAGGTAGCAAGCAGCGTGGTACAGAGGGTCAGGCAGAGGGATGGTCAGGAGCGAGCCGGGATCAGAGCAGGAGAAGTCAGCAGCGGTTCAGAAACAGGATGCAGGACAGAAACAGGATACAGGGCCCAGGACAAACACAACACCAAGGCAGAGTCTGTGGGTCTGGCCATCCCTTAAATACCCCAGCATAATCAGTTCCAGGTGTTAGCTGGCTGCAAAGTTGAGTCTCTGATTGCTGGGAGCATCCGCTGGCCAGCCCTGGTACTGCAGATCAAAAGGCAGGTGAGTCCCACCATTGCTGGCCAGTCCATTCCTGACAGTACCCCCCCTCAAGGAGCGGCCTCAGGACGCTCCAAACAGTCCTAGCTGGGAAAAATGTTCCACCGCCCGGGTCTGGTAACTGGCGGGATATCAAAGACTGGCACACCGGGCAGGACTCCGGGCAGCGGTACACCGGGCAGAGGCACATCGGGCTGGACTCCGGGCAGAGGCACACCGGGCAGAGGCACATCGGGCCGGACTCCGGGCAGAGGCACATCGGGCCGGACTCCGGGCAGAGGCACATCGGGCCGGACTCCGGGCAGAGGCACATCGGGCCGGACTCCGGGCAGAGGCACATCGGGCCGGACTCCGGGCAGAGGCACATCGGGCCGGACTCCGGGCAGAGGCACATCGGGCCGGACCGGGCAGAGGCACATCGGGCCGGACTCCGGGCAGAGGCACACCGGGCGGACTCCGGGCAGAGGCACACCGGGCCGGACTCCGGGCAGAGGCACACCGGGCCGGACTCCGGGCAGAGGCACACCGGGCCGGACTCCGGGCAGAGGCACATCGGGCCGGACTCCGGGCAGAGGCACATCGGGCCGGACTCCGGGCAGAGGCACATCGGGCAGGACTCCGGGCAGAGCACATCGGGCAGGACTCCGGGCAGAGGCACATCAGGCTACCAGGAGAAGCAGCAGGCAGCGGGCCACCAGGCGGAGCAGCAGGCACCGGGCCCCCGGGCGGAGCGGCAGGCACCGGGCCCCCCGGGCGGGGCGGCAGGCACCGGGCCCCCAGGCGGGGCGACAGGCCTCGGGCCCCCAGGCGGGGCGGCAGGTCTCGGGCCCCCAGGCGGGGCGGCGGGCGCCGGACCCCCAGGCGGAACTACAGGTCTCGGGCCCTCAGGCGGAGCGGCGGGCGCCGGACCCCCAGATGGAGCGACAGGTCTCGGGCCCTCAGGCGGAGCGGCGGGCGCCGGACCCCCAGGCGGAACTACAGGTCTCGGGCCCTCAGGCGGAGCGGCGGGCGCCGGACCCCCAGATGGAGCGACAGGTCTTGGGCCCTCAGGTGGAGCGGCGGGCGCCGGACCCCCAGGCGGGGCGACAGGCCTCGGGCCCCCAGGCGGGGCGACAGGCGCCGGACCCCCCAGATGGAGCGACAGGTCTCGGGCCCCCAGGCGGGGCGACAGGCATCGGACCCCCAGATGGAGCGACAGGCCTCGGGCCCCCAGGCGGGGCGACAGGCATCGGACCCCCAGGCGGGGCGACAGGCCTCGGGCCCTCAGGCGGAGCGGCGGGCGCCGGACCCCCAGATGGAGCGACAGGTCTCGGGCCCTCAGGCGGAGCGGCGGGCGCCGGACCCCCAGATGGAGCGACAGGTCTCGGGCCCTCAGGCGGAGCAACAGGTCTCGGGCCCCCAGGCGAAGCGGCGGGCACCGAGTCACCAGGCACGACTGCGGGCACCGAGTCGTCTGGCAAGACTGCGGGCACCGAGTCGTCTGGCAAGACTGCGGGCACCGAGTCGTCTGGCAAGACTGCGGGCACCGAGTCGTCTGGCAAGACTGCGGGCACTGAGTCGTCTGGCAAGACTGCGGGCACCGAGTCGACTGGCGGAACAGCGGGCACCGAGTCGTCTGGCAAGACAGTGGGCTCCGAGTCAACAGGCACGACAGTGGGCACCGGGTCATCAGGTATTGGATTGTCTGGCTCGACAGCGGGCATCGGGTCACCAGTTATGACAGCGGGCACTGGGTCACCAGGCATCAGGTCATTTGGCTTGCCAGCGGGCACCGCGTCATCTGGCAAGGCAGTGGGCACCGGGTCACCAGGTATGACAGCGGGCTCTGAGTCAATTGGCACGACAGCGGGCACTTGATCAGGTACCGGATCATCTGGATCAACAGCGGGCATCGAGTCAACTGGCCTAATAGGATCGTCAGGCTGGATCAGTTCATCATGCTGAGTAGCGGCATCAGGCTGGATGCAGGCATCAGGCCGAGTAGAGGCTTCAGGCCGAGTAGAGGCTTCAGGCCGAGTAGAGGCTTGAGGCTGAAGAGAGGCATCCGGCTGAAGAGAGGCATCCGGCTGAAGAGAGGCTTCAGGCTGAGTAGAGGCTTCAGGCTGAGTAGAGGCTTCAGGCTGAGTAGAGGCTTCAGGCTGAGTAGAGGCTTCAGGCTGAGTAGAGGCTTCAGGCTGAGTCACGGAAGGCAGGTTCACCGGTTTGGATACTGGCAGGATGGTATTGGTTGGAAAGAATTTTTCGCTTTTTTCTGGTTTTAACTACTGGAGCACTGCAAGTAAACGCAGCAGGTCTGCAAACGAATGGAGCAGCTGGAGACAGAGAAAAACTGGAGGATGGAACAGGGGAGGGAGCAGTTGCTACAGAGGGCTTTTTTACAGGGTTAAAGGCAGGATAGGTGCAGCGAGTGGGAACAGGGTACTGACATGCGGTAGATAGCCAAGTATACTGGGCTGTAACTGGAGGAGCTGGTGGGAATACAGGAGTAGAGTTAGAAGCAGGACTGGGTTTTTGTAAGCTGACTGAGGCTGGGTGCAACAAGTCTGTCCATGTCTGCAGTATGGGTTGAACAAAGCTGAGCTTACACAAAGCCTGTCTGGTCAATGACTGCACTGCGTTTATACAATCTCTTAGTGTCTGTGGTGAACATGTGGAATAACGCTCCAGAAAGTAACCCACATCATCCTCTAATAACCACACCAGGGACTCTACCTGGTCTGCACTAAATGGTGGCAAAAATTCATCCCTGCATTCGGGGGAACCAGATGAAACCAACTCAGCACAAACCTCAATCAAAGGCTGCACCTCAGAGAACTCTGTGCCCTGATCTACTAGAACATGAGTGAGCCGTATACATTCTAGCAGTTCATTCATCCCGGGGTATACTCCTTCAGAGTTTGATAAGCATACTCCCTGTCATCAAACACTAGCAGATATAAATACACAACCTCATCCAGATCCATCCTTCCCAGCAACAAGCCAAGATGGCTTCCCTGTGCAGCCACTTCTGGTCAGGATTGGCCTTGGTGTAATGTCAGGGCTCCCAGGTGTGACCAGAGGTGTGTGGCTGACGCAGGGAAACACAGACCTCAGATATGTTATAAACAATATAATTTATTAACACTAACAATACAAACATAAACGCAGTGCAATACTAAAACATAATACAGTGCAACCAAACCAAACCAAACCAAACCAACCACCCACAGATAACAGTACATACAAGCAAGCGTCGTCAGGCAGGCCGGGTCAATATCAATAGGGCAGGTAGGTACAGGGGAGCAAGCGGAGATGGGTCGGGGTCACAGGCCAGGTTCAGCAGGTAGCAAGCAGCGTAGTACAGAGGGTCAGGCAGAGGGATGGTCAGGGTCACAAGCCAGGGATCAGAACAGGTAGCAAGCAGCGTGGTACAGAGGGTCAGGCAGAGGGATGGTCAGGAGCGAGCCGGGATCAGAGCAGGAGAAGTCAGCAGCGGTTCAGAAACAGGATGCAGGACAGAAACAGGATACAGGGCCCAGGACAAACACAACACCAAGGCAGAGTCTGTGGGTCTGGCCATCCCTTAAATACCCCAGCATAATCAGTTCCAGGTGTTAGCTGGCTGCAAAGTTGAGTCTCTGATTGCTGGGAGCATCCGCTGGCCAGCCCTGGTACTGCAGATCAAAAGGCAGGTGAGTCCCACCATTTCTGGCCAGTCCATTCCTGACACACTGGCACCCACACTTGTAGCACACAATGGGAGCAGTTGCCGACAGCAATCTATTGGGTTCCTTTTATTGTTTGGAAAAGTGGAGATTTGTTACTCTGGGCTGTTGCGCCTGTTTTCTTTGCCTCTGTCCCTGCAGACTAGCCAGGAAGCCATTAATGTTTTAAATGATCAGATGGAAAGTTTATACAAAATATATACCAGTTGTAAGGGGAACAGGCTTAACTGTTAGTGGCAGTGGTAACCCATGCACAAAACAGGGACACCCAGGAACAGTCGAAACAGGTTAGTCTTTCACATTTATTATTAATTGCAGCAAACACAATTTCAATGCAGGAGGGTTTGCACACAGTAAGTCCAAAGCATAAAAAAATCTGCTCACCTGAGCCTCAAACTAAATATATATCAGTCCCTGACTAACGGTGCCACCTCATGGCAGAACTGGTACATGGTTTAGTGTTCTATCAGCATTCAGCCTTTTCACCAGTATCAGGCATCTAAAGCAGAGAGTGAAAGGGAGAGAGCCATGAGCATCAGTCATCTCACATATATATGTAGCACTCTCCTAGTTAGGTGGTAGGATTTGTATAGTTAGGTTAAGCACAGCTGTGTTTTTTTCTGCTTAACAGAGAGACATCTGGTGTTCTGAAGAGCTTGTCCAACTGTTGCTACTACATAGAACTTTGCTCAGCTACGTTACTTTTGGGCTGTCGTAGTCTGTTGTAACTGGCTTGTGTCTGAGGAACTCAGGCCTGTTGTTATTACTACAGCTAAAGGGCCTTGCTCAATCCTAGAACACTTGTTGATACAATTCAAGAGAAGTCTGCTATCTGCTTTCAGCCAGGATTTTCAACAGTGCCCAACTAAGAGATCAGCTATATGTCCTCAGTGTGAATAGTTCTAACTTTGGGGAATCCCCTAATTTATCCCCAGTTCTAAAATAAAATGCCAAAAACAAATATACCCTTGACTGGTCAATGAAGGCAAGTGTGTGTGTGTGTGTGTGTGTGTGTGTGTGTGTGTGTGTGTGTGTGTGTGTGTGTGTGTGTGGCTGTGAAAAAATACTTTGTGCTTGGCTGCGGGGTGAAGAGGGGGGGAAACCTGGGCAAAAATACAAGTGGCTCCTCTGGTGGTAGCGATATATATAAATAGCTGTGGACATCTGAGACTAATAATGGGGTCTGGTTACCAAGTAAGAAAATGACCTAGGAGTGGAGGCGTTATACCACCCAAAACTCAACAAAGCCCCTGGGCTCCAGGACCCAGGACAGAACTTGTTAACATTCTGAGGAAAATAGCTTGTTTCATCGACAATAAACCATGAAGCCCCTCACCATGTTTATGTGAGAAACCTATATGATACATACACACCATCAAAAATCCTCCCACCAGTGTCATATACCCTCCCCTTCTGCTCAGACCTGTGGGAAGGAGCACATTTTGCCAACGTTCAGTGGATAAATGACAGTCCAACAACATTCTCTTGCTGGGTCCTTGGTCTAAGTGCTACATAAAAATTAAAGTCTTGCAGAGCCAGAAATTATCATGTGATCCTTGCTTTGTTCTCTTTTTTCAGAGCCATCCACTGTAGATGGAATGATATGTAAACAACCAGAACCATCTGCCCAAAAGGTAATACCTCAATGACTCTAGTACCCACTTTATGGCTAGACATGCCCCTTACACTACTGAACAGTTCCTTCCTGCAGGAGGAATTTAATTTAATTTCCTGGGACAGGACTGCTGCTGGGCCAACAACAGAGAGATCACTTTCTGTAAAAAATTCTTGACTGAAATTGGAAGAGGTTAAAACTGGACACAACTGGACATACAGTGCCTTGAAAAAGTATTCATACCCCTTGAAATTTTCCACATTTTGTGATGAGATTTTATGTGATATACCAACACAAAATGGCACATAATTGTGAAGTGGAAAGAAAATGATAAATGGTTTTCAAAATTTTTTACAAATAAATATCTGAAAAGTGTGGCGTGCATTTGTATTCAGCCCTCCTGAGTCAATACTTTGTAGAACCACCTTTCGCTGCAATTACAGCTGCAAGTCTTTTTGGGGATGTCTCTACCAGCTTTGCACATCTAGAGAGTAAAATTTTTGTCAATTCTTCTTTGCTAAATAGCTCAAGCTCTGTCAGATTGGGTGGAGAGCGTCTGTGAACAGCAATTTTCAAGTCTTGCCACAGATTCTCAATTGGATTTAGCTCCGGACTTTGACAGGGCGATTCTAACACATGAATATGCTTTGATCTAAACCATTCCATTGTAGCTCTGGCTGTATGTTTAGGGTCATTGTTCTGCTGGAAGGTGAACCTCCTCCCCAGTCTCAAGTCTTTTGCAGACTAACAGGTTTTCTTCTAAAATTGCACTGTATTTGGCTCCATCCATCTTCCCATCAACTCTGAGCAGCTTCCTTACCCTTCCTTACTGAAGAAAAGCATCCCCACAACCTGTTGCTGCCACCATCATGTGTTCAGGGTGGGGATGGTGTGTTCAGGATGATGTGTAGTGCTAGTTTTCTGCCACACACAGCGTTTTGCTTTTAGGCCAAAAAACTCAACATTGGTCTCATCTGACAAGAGCACCTTCTTTCCACGTTTGCTGTGTCCCCCACATGGCTTCTCGCAAACTGCACACAGGACTTCTTACGGCTTTCTTTCAACAATGGCTTTCGTCTTGCCACTCTTCCATAAAGGCCAGATTTGTGGAG